CCTTAATTGGGAGGGTGCCGCTGTCAAGCTGATTAATGTCTTCGTAAGACCAAAGGCAGGTGACTACTGTTAACCTCCATAGAAGCAGCAGGGCCACGAACCTACTGATACCGCAGAATCAAAAGTAAATTTAATATCACGTTGATTCAGTAAACTAGTACTTTCGGGGATAGGGCCAATGGACTGCGGAAGAAAAGTTCGGGTTTAACAATTTGTAATAGCAATATGAAGCATGTCTTCTACACAAAGCTGGCACTACTCTAGATTGGCATTGGATGACAGCTGAGCTTAAAAAAGGACATAAGAAGGAAAGCCTTCAACAAAGCCAAACGTTTTAGCACCGATATGTATGTAGATGGTGTCCCAAAATTAAAGCAATTTCCGGATGTATTTTATGATTCAAGAAAACAACGTAATACGAAGACAAAGCTCAATGCCTGGCGTCTCTTCAGCGAAAATATTGAATTTTGAGGTCTAATTGCAGACCCCGCTTATGGCTTATAGTCATGCGCGCAGGCCCTCAATTTTAGCAAACTTTATTGAATATTTACATATATATTTGGCGCTTTGTAACCACTGAAGCGATTTTCGGCCGAAATTCACCTCCAATTTGTGGTTTTTCGAAATAGAGGAACCTACAATTTAAACTAAACCCCGTTCGTACGGCTGATGTTGACCCTTTATTTTGTGTTAGAATTACACTCGGAGGGGTTGACATTCCCAGCCGAGGGCCGACTGCAATTAGAAAATTTGAATTATTTTTTTATTTAAATAAATTTTCTATAACTTTTGAATGTTGGATACTTATAACCCGCAACTTAACGTCACGAATGCTCAAGCCCACACTGAAATATTGACAAAAATTTCCAAAAGTTTTAAAGCGTTTATGGAAACCGGATGAAATTTTTCCTGCTGCAAGATAAATCATTTTGCAAGATAAATCATTCGGTGTACACTCAGCGTGCATTCGCTTGGCATATACCCCATTTAGGTGGCAACGCTAATGTTATTTTTACCCCTAGGAGGGAGCATTGCTCTGTAACTGAAATAGCACAAATCAACCAATTTAACATTTTTGCTATTGAAAAGTGTGGAAAGGATCAGCAACGATTTGAACAATTGAAAATTATCATCTGAGCGACTGTCATTGAACTCATCATTCTAACCCCATCGGTATAAGTTTTAATGGTCTTATCTCCTTTTCTTCGGGTACTTGGACACTTTAGACCGAAGTTAGTGTACCATTTCATGTACATGAAAGGTATGAAAATGGTCTTCTATAAATGAAAAATATAGAAAATTTATAGAAATCTTGCATCAAGGGAATGTCTGCATCAGGGAATGCTCGCGGCTCAGATGAAAACTGTAGATCCTTCTATTTGTATGATTTCAACACCTTAAGAACACACTAACTTACTGCTTACATTTTCAAAATAATGAAATTATTATTATTTTCCTTTGCCTTAAACTTATTCGATTGAATAAACCGAATTATGACCGAAAATCTTGCACACCTACCAGACTCTAAATCCTTTCGCTTGAGCAGCTTTGATGTACATAAATAAAAGAAAATTCCGCGAAACTTTTTCACATTTTCCATCAAGAGTACAATTATTTGTTGCTCAACTTATATGGAAAAGCGCAAATGTAATTAAAGTTGAAATAGAAATCGAATATAATAAAACACAAACTCGCAAAATTATGATTTTTGTCAGTCAAAATTTGCCGGCAAAAGGAGATTAGACACTGAAATGAAAACTCGAAAAATATGTTTATTAAAGCGGGATATATTCCACTTTTTAATTCATAAATTTAAAGAATAAAATTTTTCAAATTTACTTTTGCATATCTTCAAAGCGGAATCTCATCAAGGGATATTTGTTTTTGCCTAAATTTGTGTTCTAACTTGTTTATAAAATCTCTTCATAATTACTGCTTAAAAATTATGTTTAAGAACTTATTTCTTGGTTCGATGATTTAAAAAACTGTACAACAAATTTTCTTTGAAAATATGATAATAGAAGGTTATCCATTTTGCGGTTTCAAAACTATAGTGAAGTATTTTCTCAAGCTATACACGTTTAGCTATATATCTCCTTATCGGATTTCTTCTGGATGGGATCGATCCAACCGATACCGACTTGTTTCAGTAAAAAATCAGGCATTTATGAAACTGGATCGCTTGACAACCGCGAAACGCGTTAGAACTCAACTAAACGGTGCCAAGTGCCACACAAAACAAGTGAAAATAGCTTCATTGCGAGAGAAATAATTGGTCCACGTTATCTCTCGTCTTGACGATTTTAAATGGCCATCGAGATTGTGCTATTTGACGCCAATGGATTTTTTTTTTGTTTTGTGGGTCTGTGCGAAAGACCGTGATTTCGTAATCACTTGAAAACCAACATTCGTCAAAAAGTAGTTGAGATACCCTAAAAGGCGATCATATACATAATATATGAGTTTCATGATAATAATTTTTTAAATATATTTTATCTAAGTTTATTTTTCAAACCACAAAACAGATATCCATATATAACCGCAAAATGTATGAGCAATGGAAAAGGGGAAATATTTTTAAAGTTTATTATCTGATACGATCTATGAGTCAGGTAAAGGAGTTTTCCGCAGTTGTGAAGCACTGTCTCTTAAATATTAAGCTACGCGTATGCACTAATAATCATTTAAGTGAGGGATACAAGTACATTAATCTAAAACGAATTCGCTGCTTCGCCACCACCATCTTTCTCTTCATCAATTCTATCTGCCTTATTTATGAAATATTTTTTGGGAATTGCGATAATAAATCAAAGTCTTAAAAAAAATGCCCATTATGAGGGAATGAAAAATCATTTTAATTTTCCTCGGTCGTAAACTTTTAATTAGCCCTCATGTCTTTGCGCTTTATAATGGTTTTTGGCCTTTGTATACAAAATTATTTGAAATTTTTTTTATTAAAACTTTGACAAGTTGAGCTGATATGTGCAGGACTGTAGGAAGCAAAATTGCTTTTTATTATTACATATTATATTTATAGCTCAAGTTCACTTCTCATATATCGCACAGAATAATACAAATTAAAAAAAATTTAAAAAAATACACAAAAATAAAATAAAATAAAATTAAATGAAATAGAGAAAAACAATACAAATATTGAAATGAAACAAAATGATAGAGAAAAAAATAAAATATAAAAAAAAAACAATTAAAATAAAATGAAAAAAAATAAATCATAAAAAACTCCTGAAAATGCAATAAAATAAAATAAAAAAATAAATTAAAGAATTAAATAAAGAAATATATACTAAAACGAAGTAAAATAAAATAAACAAAACTAAATTAAATTTAATTGAATGAAAAATAATTAAAAAAAATAAGATAAAACTAAAAAATTAAAAATAATATAAGGGAAAAAATAATATAATGTTAAACTAATTGAAATTAAATAATATAAATTAATTAATTAAACAAAATTAATTTAATTATATAAAGGACAATAAATTAAATTAATAATAATAAAACAAAACAAGCTTGTGAAGCTAAAAATAAAAAAAAAATTAAAAAAGAATAAAGCAAAATACCAAACAATGAAAAAGTTAAACAATATAAAATGCAACAAAATAAAATAAAATTATAATTCTAGATAATTAATTAAAAAATAAAAATAAAAAAATTAAATAAAAAAAATAAAATAAAATACGAAATAAAGTTAAAGGAAATAAAATGACAATTTAAAAAAATGATTAAAGTAATTAAAAAATAATAATTAAAATAAAATAAATAAAATATATATTAATATGATTTAAAATATTTTGAAATTGAATACCATATAATAATATGAAATAAAAAATTATTCAAAATATTTAAAATAAATAAAATAAACAGAAATAAAATTTGCTTTATTGAAATAAATCAAACTAACACGAAAAAAAAAACAAAATGAGAAAGTAACTTAATAATATAATACATAATAAAAAAGTGAATTAATTAAAAAGAAAATCCGGAAAATAAATAAAATAAACAATTAATAAATTTAAGTGAAAAAAGTGAAACGAAAAATAATAAAATTAAATTAATTTAAATAAAGTAAAATAAAACGCATATGAAAGTGAGTTTAAAAATTAAATAAAATAAAATAAATAGGATGACATTAAAAATATTAGCACAAGAAGAAAAAAAATAAAAACAATAAAAATAAAACAACACAAAATAATTTAAAACAAAATTAAATAAAATCAAGTAAAGCAAAATAAAATAGCATAAAAGTAAAGAAAAGCCGGCCGCGGTAGCCGAGTGGTTAGCATTGCGTACTGCCGCTCGGAAGGCTCGGGTTCAAATCCCCGTGCAACCAATATCCAAAAATTGTAGAAAATTAATTTAAAATAAAAAATGAAGTTAAGTTCTAATTCCGGTCGCCCCTCGGCAGGGAATATCAGCCCCTCCGAATTTATTTCTGACATGAAATAAAGCTCCTCATAAGAAAACCATCAGCCGGTTCGGATGCGGCTTAGTAAAAACTGTAGGTCCCTCCATTTGTTGGAAAAATATCAAGACGCAAAATCACAAATTGGAAGAGAAGCTCGGCCGAAAATCGCTTCAGCGGTTACAAAGCGTCAATTATATATAATTATATATATATATATATATATATATATATAAGTAAAGAAATAAAAATAAAATGAAATAAAGAAATACAATTAAAAATAGTAAAATAAAACAACATAAAATAAATTGAAAAAAATTAAAAAAATGTTAAGCAAAAAAAAATTAAATCAAATTAAAATTCTTAAATATAAAAATTAAAGAAAATAAAATAAAATAGCATGAAATAAATTAAAAAAAAATTAATAACTTCATGTAAACCAAATAAAATAAAATCAAAAAAAAAAATTTAAAAAGTGCAGAATAAACAAATTAAAATAAACTAATACAAATTAAGTTAATGAAATTAAAATAAAATACAATTTTAAATTTAGTTTCAATAAATAAGAAAACAAACGTTTGTTTCGTTCTGAATTTATTTAAAATAATTTTCGTATTAAATATGATTTCGGCAGAATTACAAGTTTTTTGGCGAGAAAGAACATTTAATTGTTATAAAATAAGAAATATATTAAATGAACATTAAAATCACAAAGTTGGAAGTTTTCGTTATTCGTTCGTCAATATCCAGATATTAATGTAACTTATCTTTTTTATTTCCTCCTAACGTAAGTAAGTCAACAACTGGAGCAAATTGACAGCATCATCAGCGTAGTCGTTCAAAGATTGGCCTCTACCAAATGCACTATTTAAAAGGTCATCTAAATCTTTTTCATTAACTTCATCACTATCTTTGCCTAAGTCGAATTCTTTGACATTTTCTTCGATATTTTCTGTTTCAGTTTGTTCGGCGGCTGATGAAAAGAGATTGTTTATGTAGTTTTCTTCATCTTCTTCTTTGTCGTTAACATCAGCACTGGCTCCATTTACACTAGGACCGGAGCCAAATATTTCATTCAACATATTCTCCACTTCCTCATCGGTCAAGTGAAAATCATCCACTTTTTCATCTACTGCTTCTGCTGTTTCTTCCTCCTTCCATTCTTTCTCATCTTCATCTTCGGCTTTGTTTTCTGTTTTACCATTTATTTCTACATCAAACACTTCTGCTTCTTCACTACTACCATCGTCTACTGTTGAATCACGCGCAGTATCAGTTGATTCTCTTTCTTCTGTTGTTCTACCGCCTGTTCTTATGTAATTCATAAAATCTTCGAATTCTTTATCACTGTTTTCAGTCGTTGTTTTGTCAAATGCTTTGTCGCCTGCCAACGTAAGCATAGTCCTCAGTAGTTCTTCCAAAGATGGATTAAGTTTCATGACAATATTTACGTCCACGTCTGCTTTCTTATCCTTCTCCTGTGTTACCAGAGTATCGGAAACAGTTTTCAAGTGATTTTCGAGATCACTCACAAACTCCTTTACAGTTGATACATCTTCAACAATGCTCTTTAGCTTCGTTTGCTGTTCCAGCATGGTTTCCTCGAGCGGTTGGAAATCTATGGCTTGTTGTTCTTGTGGTAATACACTGTTAATCACTTGATAGTCATATGGTTGTCGTGCAACTAGCGCAGGTACACTCATCGGCACGTACTCCTTCGCTAGTGGAGCCATCCTGTAGGCTTGTCCAGGGTATGCAGCGGCATAGTTTTCCGCGTAGCCATTCGAATTCACCGCATACTCACCAATGTAACCTTTGTTGGGTGGCAGCAGATGACGTGCTGGGGAATAGCAACACTTTAATTTGAATATTGCAAATTCAAAAAAAAATACCAATACCTGGTACGTCTATATCCAACAACGAACCGCCAGGTTCTGTTACATCACTCTCTATTTCGGGCGCACATATGCGTACAGTGTGTGTAGCCGTTGGCGCATCAGAAGTACGCATACTCATATCTATGCATTTGACTCCATCTAGTGGCTTAGCATGGATGGCTGTTAAGCCCAGACAGCAAAGTAATGCGACCTTGAAGAACATCGCAATCACTCTATGTTATGAATTATTATTCTCAATAAAAATTTATTTAACTGTATTGATTAGGGAAAAATAAAAACAAACAATTGATTCAACAGCACAAACTGAGATCCGCAAATTTTATGTTTAAAGCTCGACTGACAAAATAGACTGCCGAGCAGTATCTGTAAACGAGTAGCTTTAAGACGCCGCATTTTCGAAACAATCAACCAGAAGGTTAAGTTCAACAACTGATAAGTAAGTGAGTAAATAAAAAGCTGTTTAATATGTATGTATTTATTTTATATTTGTTATAAAATAATTTCGTTTTAATTCTTAAACTTAAAATTTGATGTTTATTCTCAATCCCACACATTTTCTTAAAACTGTGTGGGTAATTTTCATTGGAAAATGTTATACTGAATTCCCAGAAGTGTTTTTTGAAACAATTAAAAACAGCCAAAATATTTAATTTATTTCAAGAAGCATATAAATTAGACAAGAGAACAAAGAAGACAACAACCTGCGGTGATTTCAGATTTGAACTCAAGACGAGCGTCCCAAAATATATTTAAATATTGATGAGTGCATAAGTTCGTGCCCGATTTCAAGTGCAAACTAAAATTGAAATTTTTTAAAGAAAGCGCTTTTATTAATCAATTATGTATTCGCCATCATGTACGGCAATCCACTCCTAACGTTCAACCAATTTACGGATGCCTGATTCATAGAAATCGCGCGGTTTCTCGTTGAGAAAGGTGTCAAGGTGGTTTTTGACGTCTTCCACATTTTTAAATTTTTTTCCATTCAAATTGTTCTGCAGCGATCGAAACAAATGATAATCAGAAGGTGCAATGTCGGGTGAATATGGGGGATGCGGCCCAATTCATCTCCTTCAGTTTGGCCAGTGTCGGTTTCGCAACATGTGGCCTGGCGTTGTCATGATGGAAAAGAACTCCTTTGCGATTGGCCAAAATCGGATGTTTATCATCAATTGCTTTCTTCAATTCGACCAATTGCTGACAATACTTGTTGGCAGTGATCGTTTCTCCAGCTGGCAAGAGCTCAAAATAGATCACGCCTCGGATATCCCACCAAATGCACAGCAGTACCTTCATCGGATGCAATCCACCTTTCGACATCGGTTCCGCCCCTTCGTGTGCGTGTTCCCATGTTCTTTTGCGTTGCACTTTGTTGTACAGGATTCATTTTTCATCACCAGTCACGAGCCGATCCAAAAAAGGTTCGTTTTTGATCCGTCGAAGCAAAGAAATTGCTGTTGACATACGGTCCACTTGTTTTTTCACTCAACTGATGTGGCACCCATGTATCGAGCTTCAAAGTGTACCCAACCTTTTTTAAACGACGAAACGCAGTTGATTTGTTGACGTTCAATTCAATGGCAACCTCTTCCGTCGAAATACGTGAGTTACTCGCAACTAAAGTCCTTAGAACATCGTCATCAAGCTCAGAAGGCCGTCCACTGCGAGGTTGATCTGATTAAATTCTCCAGAACGAAATTTTTGCGAACCATTTCTTTACTGTGCGGAGTGCTGGAGCACGGTCCAAATAAACTTCACGAATATCTTTAGTTGCAGCGTCTACTGTTTTTCCTTTGCGGAATTCGTATAACATAATAATTCCATGCGTCTTTTCACTAAGCAACTCAAATCAAGCCCGACAATTGGCACCCTAGTATGCTCTGCTCAATCAATAAGAATGTTTACCCCGTAGACTGCAACAATTATAGAGGAAAAAGTCTAGACAATATGGCATCAAAACTCAATAGAACCATCTCGATGTGTCATAAGACCTGATAGATCAACTATTGATATTCAGATATTCAACGTGTATACCAATTACTGAAGACCAACCGAGAGAGTCAATTCACAAAATCTCTCCAGCAGCACGAAGAGAAGCTGCCGTTACGTTTGGTAGCTAAATATCCTTCCAAAAGTTGGCTGTTGATATTATTGGCTTCAAAAACAGAGACGTAGATTCCTTTTTCTGAAAATTAGACAAAGAATCCAGCTGAATGCGCTTAGTAGTGAATGCGTTTCGTTCACCTTAGAACAGAATCACTCTAGCCAACAGGTCATTTTGAGCTGAGCAACTGAAAAGTATGATTCTCTCTAGACGAACCAATACCAACCTCAACTCATTCCCGTCACGCTGGTATGGTACAGAGGCCCAGACCGATCCAAGCGGCGATGGGAGGTTTCGAGAAAAAGATTTTGGGGAAGATTAAAGTCCTTTGCGTATTAGCGGTGGCGACCTAAGATAGTAAGAGATGACATTATATCTCGTTACTGACGATACCAATCCTGGGACTCATTGTTAGTAGAAATATTATGTTCATTAACATTTCGTTCTTCGTACAAGCTAAAACACTATATCAACGAAAACTGGAAATTGTCGCTATCCGGAGCACCGCACTGTGATTAAATTCCTTAGAAAGAAAGGAAGTACGGACTCAGGACTCTGCCCATACATATACTATGATGAAAAAATGGGCTCGGCTGTCTCCGACCGGGCGCCTAGTGATGGTCGTGACGGAAGCAAATGCTAACCGAAGAATTAAATTGTGGTAGACAGCAGAAGGATAACAGATTAGTAAAGAATGAGACATCCTGCGGGTTAGAGGTTTAAGAATTTAACCGCGGCATGCGAGTCGTAAGAGCAACTAAAATCCAATAGCTCCCGCGACAGTCGGGTCGTGCTCGACCCGGATTTTTACACGGCCAAGGGCTGTCACTTCCGCAACATTCCCCAAAAAAAAAATATATTTGCGGTTACAACAACAACAACAACAACAACAACAACAACAACAGCAATGACTGATCTAGTGATATTTTGCAAGAACTTTGATTCTAAAGTGAAATTAGTGCGCGTTTTACCGCGAATACTCACGTCGCTCGAGAAACAGCGATAATTGGACAATTGTAAAGATTTTGCGGAGTTGCGCCTGGATGATTTGAATCAATTTTGCAACCCCATTGTAACAGTTGATGAAAATTGAATTCATCTCAGTGTGATCCCGAGTCCAACGGGAATCGATGAAGTGGATAAAAATAGGGAAAGGCAACCAAAAAAATTCCATGTGGAAAATACGGCGTCATTAAGGGAACTACAATGAACGGCCAGTATTATGCCAATTTCCTGTGTCAGGTGCATTAGCTAGTCGTACAGAAGAGGCGTGGCAAGTTAGCGCTGTTTATTCAAGGCAACGCATCCGTTGACACAGATCGGATGACGAAGAATGCCTTAGAAGCTACTATATTCACATAAATTGACCATCCTTTCTACAGCCTGGACCTGGCTCCCAGTGACAATTTCCTTTTCTCCAAATTTAAAAAAGAATGTACGTGAGCGAAGATTTTCAGACGGCAGACGAGATGAAAACGTCATATTTTTCATATATTATTAAATATACAAAAAGAAAAAAAATTCCCAGCTCTTGAGATAGCTTGTTTGAAACTTCAAAGGGCTATTCAGCGAATAATCAAGAAATAAAAAATACAAACAACTTTAACGTCCGCATTTTTCTGTACGACTTATCGTCTCCGCTAGCCAATTGTCAATCCATTTTGTAGCTAGAGATCAGCGTTTTGTTGATAAGATGTCAATATGAGGGATTTCCAAACCAAACGAGTATATACACATGTTATATGTGTACATTTGGAAATATATAAAATATATATACGTAGGTGTGTATTTGCAAACAACAGCTGATTAATAATTGATAACATATGACATTATTACGGCATTAATTATGATTTCTGGACAGAACAGCATTTTATTTAGATAATTTCCTTGCGGATTAGCGAGGGAATCGAGGTAAAGTATATTGTCATATCTTAAATAATATTTCAAAAGCAAATATATATATGTATATATTTTCTAAAAACAGCATGAATAGTTATTTTTGAATTTTTTTCAATTCATCGTCTAACATTTTTTCTCAAAATATACTCAGCGAGACTATTATATTATTTTAAAATATATATATGTGAATGAATTCTCATTTATTTCCTTCACCATCAATTAGTTGGTAATTCATGTCGGATTTTGCTCTTTCAATTCTACAAATTATCATAATATAAAGTGGCAAATATGCCTACATACATACAAATGTTTGTGTGTGCAAAGTCAACATTAAAGGCCATAAAATCACTTAACACAAATTTTATTGCCAAACTTTTGAAAGTGACAATACGCACGAGACTATTTATGTGCATACCCTCGTATATACATATAATTGCAGGTACATTTGTAATTGCTTGTTCTCAGACCTGCACAGTTCATGCATATCTTGGCTGCGTTCAAAGAAATTCTCAATTGGCGCTCAAAGGACATTCGCTGTGGGAGCACCAAAATTGCTTTGTGCCAAATGATCACAATAAGACCACCTGGAGAGCTAAAGTGTAAAGTGTTAAATGTTTAAAAACAATTAAATTCAATAACATTAAAGAGTGAAATAAGAGAAAATTACAAGTAGGACACATTTCAAAGTGACAGATAACGAGCTATATAAAAGTAAAATATATGAGACTGATATATTGAGAGAGAGCCTCGGCTGAAATGAGCACAAATTTGGCATTCATGTTTTTAAAGTAATATAATTATTCAATTTAATTAACAGATTTATATTAATTTAATTTTTGACTTAATTTAATTATTTTATTCCATTTTATTTATTTTATTTTTCTTCCATTTTTAATTTAATTTTTTTTTTGCAATTCCCTTTATTTTATTTTAATAGTTATTTTAATTAACTTTATTGTATTTCAATTTAATTATTATTTTTTCTTTTTTATTCAATTTTTTTCTATTTCATTTTCCTATTCTTACATCTTTTATTAATCTTATTTTTTTTTTTAAATTTATTGTAATTGTCTTAATTTATTTTATTTTAATTTCCATTTTCTTTTATTTTAATTATTTTATATATTTTTTCATTTTATCTTATTTTGTTTTATATTTTTTGTTTCATTTTATCTTATTTTATTTTATATCAGTTTTTTTAGTATTTTATTTTAATTTTATTTTATTTTACATAAATTTTTGTTATTTTATTTTATTTATTTTGTTTTCTTTATTTCTTTCTATTTTATTTTATTTTTTTATTTTACTTAATTTAATTGTTTTTAAATTTTATTTATTGTTGATTTTGCTTTTATTATTTAA